TCCGGCCAGAAAAAGAACCAACCGGTTTAGACCGGTTTGGGAGTTGTCCAGTATTTACTGACCCGGTTCGAGTCCAGTATAGTATTTCAGTTAATTTTTCAGTCCAGTTAGTCCAGTACACCGGTATCAGTTCAGTCCGGTTTTTCCTTGTCAGTCAAGTTAAGTCCCGAGAATATTCCAGTTAAATATTTAGATCGAGTCGAGCATCTTAGCAGTTATTTTCAATCAATCTGAGCGTAGTACTTAGTATTTGTTTATTTATATAATGTTTTCAGAGTTATCAGCAGCAGCACTTACATTATCAGTACAGGTGGGGACTCAGACTGAGTATTACATTACGTATAATTACAGCTATCATGCGAGGTATGTATATATCAGTTCCGCTTAGAGTGGTGGCCAGTTGCGTAATTCCACTCCGAGCTCTAGTGGCTAGATCTGACCACTAGGGTATGCACATGGTTCCGGCTAGTATTATTACAGTCGGCAGACGCAGTTTACGTCCAGTTTATACTGTTGACGAGCAGTTACAGATAGAGGCAGAGGCAGATATGCATATGTTTGTTCATGATGATGCAATTATTATTAATGTTTACTTTAGTATGAGTTTTTGCGGAGTACAGTGTTTTTAGTACTCACGCTCCCACTATTATGATTCTTTTTCAGGAGACAGGGTCGGTCCGGAGGAGTGATGGAGCTGGTGGTCGCCGGTTCAGTACATGTAAATATGTTTATATTTTTGCAGACTGTTGATATGTATATATTTGCCACATTTTACTTCCGCTGACGTTTTCAGGTTTTCAAACTAGCGTGTAAATTTTCAGACGACGATCCGAGTTCTCGGGTCTAGTTTTATACAATATCACGCGCTTGTTTTATAATGATAATCCGTTTTTCATAAATGTGTTTATAGTTAACGGGTTTTCAGAAAAGAAATGTTTTATGTAGCATCCCAATATATGTTTTCGCAAAATAAAACGTAAGCTTTAGAAAAGGATTTGCGAAAATCGCACTCTGATTTTAGTAAGCTAGCGGGGTGTTACAAATACAGTTCCAAGTCGTTGGATATTTCGAGATGGGATATCGAATAAATCCGGAA